CGATGCTGTCGATTAGTCCCTGAGTGAGAAGAGATTTTGAAGGTTTGATTTATTTTCTTTGAGGCAGCGGTACTGCATACAATATGGCTTCCTTTCTCTCATATTATGCTCAAAATACTATAAATGGCACACACATACAGGCATATGCAGGCGTGTGAATCCTCACATTCATACGCAGCATGAAACTGTGTTGCACATGCCCACACACACACAGTTTGGTCCAGGTCTTATAACACATTTCTTCCTTTGTTAGACACCAAACAAACACAAAAAACAGGCGCGGGCAATGTGTGAAAGAAACCCATAAAACATTTTATGTTCAACTCTGGGACAGCTTACATTAACACAGATATAGCTGATATTTGCAAATGTTGGCTGACCTGTTTTTCTGTCCACCACTTTGGTCTAGAGTGAAACATCTAAACAACTACTAGATGGATTGCCATAACATTTTGAAGACATTCATGATCCCCAGAGGATGAATCCTGCCTGACTTTTCCTATAGTGTTAGGGGCTCACAAGTTCTGACAACTATTGGATGGATTGCTATGAAATTTTGAATCTGAAAAGTGTTTGCATGCTAACACGCTAAACTAAGATGTCATGAATCTGAGACATCGATCCTGTCTTTTTATTGTATGTAAATAAACATGTACTGTCTCTACATTATTATTTATACTTTACTTTTACACCATTAAATTAATTTATATTGGTAGTTAAAGTGAAATTTTAATAGAATGTCAGAAAAAAAGTGTCAAATTCAAGACACAGCTATGCTAGCTAACACTGCAAACATCAGGCTTCCGGATGAACATCAGCATGTTTGCATTGTCATTAAACCAATGTTAGCATGCTGACATTAGAATTAGGTACTGCCAACAGAGCTGCTAGCCTGGCTGTACACTCTCTGTCTTGTTTTATTAGCAAAGCTTTTATACAAATACTGACTTAATACCTTCATGTTAAAATGAAGAATTATTAGTATTAATATTAAGTATTTTTTATTAATTATTGTTAGGTTAATTAAATTTGTTACTTGTTCTTATTTTTTCAACAACCCCTTGTGCATGTTAAAATTTCAACAATATTGTTTAACTTCATCTTCTGTTAATACATGTGCTTGTGCACACATTTTTAATTGAATGGCTTAAGTAATTTGTGCACCTCTATAAAGCCAGTTATTTATACATTCCTCTGTAAATATGGCCTGCTCATTAAACAAGAGAATCTGTGGCCAAATGGCAATTTTTGGTCTCTCAGTTCTCCAGGCATGTTTGCTCATGAACCGTGACTGTGAGATGGTTCAGGGTGAGAGCTGCGGTGCACTGTAGCCAAGTAGAAAACCAGATGATATGCTGTAACACCTGGATGAATCAAATGGGGCCGAGAGGGAGTCTTTGTGTGTTACCAAACCAAGACAAAAAAAACCCCACACCCTTTCTCCCTTTTTCCATTGTCCTCGTGCCTACAGCAGTAAGGCTCAGTTGTAATGAATTTCAGTTGAAAATACTCCAAGCCTTGGGTGAAAGAGTGGTTCAGTGCACAGTCAGTACACTTGAGTTAAAATGAAAGGACATGAATGCGCCCAGCGTAGAAGTGGGAAGGGATGGAAATGTGACCGTCCATGCCCGACTGTGATCTGAGCATTCACGATCACTGGCTGGAGATATGAAGGCTTCAAGTGACCTTGAAGCATTTTTAACCCACAGATGAAGATTTAGACATGAAACACTTGTCATCTCTAGTGTTTTAACACTGCTGAGTAAAACCTACACAAATGATCACTTTCACAGCCAATTCCTGGGCACATGTGACACATTTCTGGATTTGTCCGGTGTACTGTGAGATTGTCGCTGTCAGGGAACATTCACATATGCCTGAAATAGCCAGCCGCTGACATTTTCCTGAAGTTTCCCAGGCCAACATGCTCCCAAGATGGAAGCTGTTTGAAGTAATTTACGGCTTCTTCCTCTAACTTTCTGCTTTATTGTTCCATTAAATCTACTGAAGAAAAGCCCATAACAGGAGGGGCTATGACAATTATGATGATTTCCCCCTCATTGTGTCTTCATTATTGCATAACTCCTCCATCTCTGCCTTCATATGCAATGCAGTTTGGATACAGTTTGAGACTTTGCATTGAAATATTTTCATTCAAAGATTCCTTTTGATGAATTTGGTGTTATGTTGGCAGGGGACAATATTCATCAGAAGAATAACGGGACCGCTCTATACACGTCTTACTTCATCATCATATGCAGGGTGACAGTACGTCTTCTTCTCTTGGCTGTACCATTAGGATTCAGTAGAGCCTGAAATTGCATATTATACAGTATCTGCCTATAGAAAGGCTGCAAAATATTAACATAAAGAGGAGCACTCAGCCTTGTTAGCGCGATAACAACCTTAATTTGTAGTAGGGCGTGAGCGGTCGTCCATCTTGGAGACGAGTTGTGTCAGTCGATTCTTTACTGCTCCACACATCAGGTGCTGGTATGTGATTTGAGCTGAACCTTTGACATAAAAAAAGGGGCTGTATGACACTGCCAAGCCTGAAGGATCACAAAGACACCAAATGGAGTAAGACTTCCTTTGTTTTCCGTGCTCACTCATTATACAAAATCTCTCAACCCTAAAACATTGACAAGACTTGTGTTGACGAGGAAAATGCCTGCGAATCATCAGAGAATGTTGCAGAAATGCTTGAAAAAAAAGTTTGTACAGGTGTGGTTGGAAAAAGAACAAATTTCCCTTTTCCCTTTGGAGTCCATAATCTCATTAAATCGTTTGAAAAAAGGACTTTTTATCATCAAGTGAGTGCTGCAAATTGTCCATTTTCATCTATATTCTTTCATCTTTTTGACTCCATTGCAAACGTGTTGCAGCTTGTTTCTCTGATTGCTACTTGCTCAGGAAATAAAGAACAACACCGAAGAATCTTTTATGTCTGTATTCTTGTGCTAAATAGGTTTAAAAAACAAAACAAAAAAAAACCAACACTCAGTTTTGGCTTTTATAAAATGCAATTTTTTCTTTATCAGCTTTGAGATGATGCCAGTCTAAGCCGAGGCGAAAAAAGACAAACACAAGCCAAAATGAATGACAGGAACGTAACAAAAATAGCTGTCAGAGTATTTCACAGTGCAAAAATCTATATTGTACACAGTGTCAGCTCGTATTTACATGGACATGGACATTCAAAATATACAGGATCTGTCTTCCCCAAACCCAAAAGATTAATACTATGTCTTACAGTGTGCACCATCCAAGACAAATCACCGTTATAAAGATGAAGAGGAAGATGAATTATATACTAAAATAAATAACATACTTTAAAATTACACACGAGAACATTTGTAGCATAAAACCTGCTCTGTCATCATCATAGGATAATGATGTCTTTCTCTCATAGTGATTGTCACTCTCCCTTCTTTCCTTCCTTCCTTCCTTTCCTTCCATCCTTATACCTGATGAGCAACAAATTAAAATATTGCAATACGTCCAAATGTCTGTTTTATTCAAGAATGGAAAGGAATGTTAGCTAAACTGCACCTTTAAGGCTATTGAAGAGCTGCATCCTTGACTTTGATTACTTGATTGATATTATTTAATTAGACCAATTTAATGTTATTAGCTCACAGTGGTGAGTGTTCAAATTTCTTCCCAGATAAACCTCCACGAAGGCGACCTTTTGGTAGGGTCCTACTTATCTGGTTATATTCTGTTGCAGAAATTACATTAACAATTTATCTTTGATTTTCTTAATTATTTATGTTGGATTTTATATTAATGTTAATTAATAAGCCAAATATCACAATGTAAACTTGTTTTTTCCAACATACTATAAAGATCAACTATCCTTATTCTGTGTGACTAAATGTGCAAATCTTGTCTTTGCTTTACTATAGGTCCATGGAAATATACATTTCAAACTGTACCCACAAATATCTCATATGTCTCACACAAATCTTGGTAAGAATTATTCCAGTTGACAAGAAAACCTAAAAATCATTCAATCAAATATATGGTGACATAAAATCCAACAGATACATGAACACAGTAGCACCCATGTAGACAGAAAAAGGTTGTTTGGATTTTATAAACCGACAATGAATTGCTCCTTCTGACAGGTATTGTTTCTGTGTGTCTAGGATATACTTTATCCCTCTGTGATCCATTGTTCTCCAAAAAACTATTAAAAACACACCAGTGAGTCACACTGCTGCACCGGTTTACCTTCATTTCCATGAACACTGGGACTGTAGTTGGTTTTGAGTAAATCCCACATACGCCATCCATGCTGCTTGTACTCACTGGAGCGTCAAACATGTATTAATGCAGGGCTAAAAACAGTCCCCAACAAACACTACTTAGTTAACATTTCCCAAAAACTGCAGTGCTCCGCTGTTTTAAAAAAGTCATATTTGAAAAATTTAAACTATATATAGTTTTACTCATTTTTAAAGGCTCTTCAAGACATCTTCATTACTGTAAGAAATGATGGGCTTTTAGCTGAGTGCCACAGACAGTGTAGAACAGTATTGCACTGTGGCCATCAATACTCTTAACTTTCATCCTACACAATCATATGACACAGTTATGACAAAGCAACAACAAAATGAAGAGTAATATGAATATATTTAAGATAAAGAGTAGATTATTCATGTTTGTCTGTGCAAGATTGCGATCAAGGCTTTAAGATTTAAATGTGCAGACAGTATGAAAGTGATCTTCTCATCATTTCATCTTTAGTGAGACTTTGCTTTGCCCTGGATGTTCGTTCATAAAAAAATGCTACAAAATTCATGAATAAATATGTATGGAGAACAGAATATCATATATTAAAGGCATCATGAGCATGATAAAGTATAATTGTGAATAAAATCAGAATTCAACACAGAAGCTGCTCGTTTGTCAGAATCATTGGCACAACTGATAGCATATTTGAATCATACACAGTGAAACAACTCTTGTGGCTGTTAAATAACCTTAAAATAAAGTTTTTTATTCATATATTTATTTGTGCATTTAGCTTCTTCTTTTTGCTTCTCAGCCCTGGGATGTTCGGCATCAGCACAAATACAGCAACTGCAAAACAACAAAGAAGTCAGGAGTGCAGCATCACAGGACACACTTAGCACGTACTTAGGAATTGGCAAGAATAAAATATTAATAGAAAACAAAAATAAAATCCTTTTAAAACATCTGAACAACTTTTTTTTTTCAAATTAAACATTATGTACACAATTCCAGAGCTTCAAGCACAGAGGGTCTTTTGAAATTCAACCTCTATTATAGCACATACGATCAGGTTTGTGAAGTTTGATGGCGTGTGTGTGTGTGTGTCGGTTTGGACACCCCTTCATAGCTGTGACCAACATACAGTACCCTTTGGTATCGGTGAGGTTAGGAAGGAGTGGTTTTTCTACTTCACCTTAAAAATCATCATCATCATGACACCATCAAAATCATTATTCACCTCTACCTCATGTCGATCAGAACCCATATTACCATCACTGTCACATTCAGCAGCATCATTTCAAAACAGGAAACATCGGCACCCTCACTGTCATCACAGTCACAGTTATTTCTGTCTCCACACCGGCACAAGTCTCCATCGCTGTGAGCACACTCACAGTTTAGCAGCTTTAGGAAGTGACACATGTCAAAAAGCAGCTCTTGTCTCATACCACAAGTTCTTGACATCAATCTAAAAGCAGCTGCAACAGCAATGTAAAGTAAAATGTCAGCTAGTCCGTCTCCATCCCAATGAGCTCTTTATTTCCAGACCAGTATTGTCGTCCTGGGCTGAGATTTAATCACTGAGAAATGGCGGGCAAACTGGAATCATTTTCATTTCTTACTGTACATCTCCGTTGCTCTGTTTCTCTTCTTCAGCTGTTCCCACCGCTACACTCTCTATCTCCGTTGTGACTCTGTGGCTCAAGCGTACGTTTCTCCTGATTTCAGCGCCACCAGTTCAGAGTCCTCCGTGTGGCGTCCGTTCAAATGTTCGCTGTTACAGTCGTGGTGGTACATGAAGGCGGGCACCTCGGTGATGGAGGTTGCTGTGTAGGACGTGGACCGCATTGAACAGTGTTCCTTTCGTCTCTGACCCCACTGGGTTTTGTACTGCATCCACTGTCTCTTTAGAGCTGCCTGCACCTGGATGACACACAAACAGGTCGGGTTAGAGACATGGTTCATTATGATGGTCCGAATCTTAAACATTGTAATGCTTCAGCCCTCTGCGGAGATCTAAAAGTGGATCTTTGTGTCTGCCCATGGGAAAAAAATACTTTGGTAGTTTCAACACCATCATAGTGTGTAACCGATTACCTTTTATCTTTGCCTTTTTCACAAGATTTCTCAATATAAATGCTGTCATTTTTAGCTGTTTTTAGTTACACGTCACAATCATTTCTCCACACTTTTGTCTGTTTTGCTGTTCCACTTTGACCACAAATTTATTCCAGCAGACATTCAGATCTACATGCAAATCAATATGCGGATCTAGCTCAATGTAAGTAAGGCAGAGCCAATGTAAACACTATCTTGTGACAAAATTCATCCAACTGACGGTGATCTTAATCAATGCAAGCGTAATTGCTGCAGCATATGTGGATCACTCAAATTTCAATCCCATTAACAGATGCTAGTTAGGAAATGTAAACACCAAAGTCACATTTCTTGAAATGCAGCCAAATTGTGCATGTGGGCAGATCATCAGATTATTAAATGGAAGAAAGATGTAATCATGTAATTAGATATGACTTCTCCCCTCTCAACAAGCACTCAACAAGTGCTCATAGGGTGTAGCTGCAGTCTCTAGTTTGAGGAATGTGAGCACACATTCTTGTGAGTACATTTACAAAGCTTTAGTGTAAGTAACCCTTCATAATCCCTCTATTTAATCCTCAATATGATCAGTGGTTATGATGTTCTAATCAGCTATTAAATAAAACTCCCAACTTCAAACTTCTAAATCAGAAATGTCTTGTGTGTGGGACAAACTGCAAAACGCTCACACTTACAATTTTACTGTAAAATAGTTACCTTTTCAGAAGTTTATTAAACTTCACAATGACGACAACAAACTCGTTTTACCCTATAGAGGCCTAAATGCCTAGAGGACTCAATGTTCCAAATTTTACACTCCCTCCCTCAGTTCAACCACATTACCAATAAAGCTGAACAAAAGGAAAGGAAATTCTCACGGCTGCCTGCTGAGCATTTAACAACAAAAGAAATATCACTTCAGGATGCACTATACAGTACACTACAGTATTACCACATTTTACACTTCCGCCTTCTATTGTCAAATCAATCTGAACAGTAAAACATTTCAGATGGAAATGAGTAATAACCAGCATCTTTTTAGTGGTGACATGTTCTTCACCTGCAGCTGTGTTGCAATTATTCTGTTTGGTAATATGCACCATTAAAGCACATTTAAAAAAACTGAAATTGTAAGGGCCGTAAGGTGACTTCCACATTTTTACCAAATCGTGTGTTTCATGTGTTTCTGTGACAAATTCATCTTTAATAAAACACACACAGCAAACCTGGGACAGGGTAGTATTCTAGTGCAGAAATATCGGTTTCTGGGAAAAAACGGTTGGGGGGGAAAGTGTATGTGTGTGTGTTGGGGGTGGAAAAGGGTGGGAGGGGGGCTGAGGTTCTCAGTTATGGCCCATAGCGTTAAATCTTGCCTTGCCTAGTATCTAGCACGTTGTTGTTGGATGGATGTAATGCTTTAGGGTTAGTCTGCTATTTGTTTTGTCTATAAAATGTAATTAAATGTTGAAAAATCATTATGTAGAGCCTAAGGTCACACCTAGAAATAGCCTCTTTTGGCCAACCAACATCCAACCCAAAATATACTAAAATCAAAGTGACATTACTGGAGGAAAAACACTCAACACTACGTACATATCGTTTGGTTGAACAGTTGGTTGACTGTGAACTGAGTTTCCTAAAAACAGAAACTGGAACTACAAGCTGTGCAATGTTAATCATTTTATTCTGTAACACCCTAATAATACCGTAATTACAGTGGGCATATTAACCCACAATGATCTAATTATTTAAATTATGACACTAATTGTTATAATGAGACAAAAGAGCAGCCGGGGCTTACAGCTTCCATGTAGAACGTCTTGCTTGATATCACAAATACAGCATGAAAGCTGTTTGTCTCAGTGACCTAACTTCACAATGGGGCCATTGAAGAAACAAGGCAGGTCTGTGCAGTTTGGCCTTGAAAATCAAAAAACAGAATTGAAACCAGCCCCAGAAACCCGTGTCCTGATTAAGGGAGCAGAATCGGTCATTATGCGGGTGAGGCAAACAAACCCCATCCTTCTTTTGTGATAGTTTGTGTGTGTGAGTTATAGTATATCATCCATAAACTGGGCCTGTCTTTTATACGTGCATATGTTCTACACATTGTTTATAGTCCATATTGTTTGCATCATAAGGCGATACTGTATGAACTAATGTATAAGCTAAACCTGACCCACTTTCCAGGCTGACTGCACAAACCTCCATAATAGGTTGCTGGTTCCTCTGTGCCAGACACTGTTGTCTTGTCATACAAAAAAGAGAATTTCACTGCACAAGTTTTGTTTGTTGTTATTTCAAATGGAAATATTACAAAAGCATATTTTTTTAAAACACACCAATAGTTGTCTGTAATCTGATCTGTCTGTGGTATTCACACCACCACGGACCTGCTAAAAATGGCTAACTCAACCTTGCAGGACACACTGCACAAATGTGAGCTTGAGAGCATCTGTCACACAATGGGTCTGCGGAGCAATTAATCCTAGATCTGGGTTTTAATGGAAATCAAGCCCATTCGTTTAGAGAAGTGTTTGAACCAAGTTAAGGATGCTCGCAGTCTGACAGCTGCAGACAGACTCAGAAAGGCTGACGGGAGGACTTGAAAGGAGAGTCAATTTCCAGCTGGGCTTGGAAACCACACAGTCATTTATAAACTGTGTCTTGCTCTTCACCTGACGTGACCCTTCAGCTTTTACTGCCGCAGCACAATGTTGGTCTCAGATGAGACTGCAGCACAATGCTTTAGCTGTTACAATTGGACTAATGACAGATGTAGCATCTCTGTGAAGTAACAACTATTTTACTCAAGTATTCAATGGCAAAATTCAACTGAGTCTATGTTCGGGTCACTTCTTGATGTGCTATCAGCTACAGATGTAAGATGCCAGATATCTAACCTGGAAAAACATAATATGAAAATGTTTTGCCTGATGGAGTCTGATGTCTCATACTTAATGTCATAAGCAATGAGGTTTTATTGCTCCATGACTGAATAGCTTACAGACTAACATGTGCAGGTTGACCTTTATGAAAGGACAATTGCTCCTTCAACTCTACAACGTTATTTTGTCCGACATGCCACCAAAAATGGAACCTTTACAGGATACAACATTCTTAAAGTAATAGTTTTGGGAATCACTTTATTGCTGAGAGTTAGTTATTATAAAGCTGGAGCCAGGAGATGGTTAGCTTAGCTTATCTTATCTTAGCTTAGCGTGAAGACTGGAAACAGGTGGAAACAGCTAACCGGGCTCTATCAAAAATGAAAGGTCCAGTGTGTAACATTTAGGAGGATCTGGCACATGGAATATAATATTCACTATTTCATTAGTGTAGTTATAGTGTATATCACCTGAATAAAGGGATCGTTGTGTTTTCATTACCTTAGAATGAGCCATTTTTATCTACAGACACTGCAGGTTGCCCTTTCATGGAGTCCGCCATATTAAACCGCAATTTTTCTATAGTAGTCCAGAACGGAACGGAAATCCACCTACCAGCACCTCTCCATCTCGCTAATTAAAGAAAAGATATAACTTGCTAATTAGTGAGCTTTAGAGGTGGTGGTAGAAATTTCTACCTATGGACAAAAAGAGGCTAGCTGTTTTCCTTATGCTAAGCTAAGTTAACTGTGTCCTGGCACTGGGTCAAACTCTTCCTTTAACTTTACACAATATTAGCACAATGTAGGGAAGCCAAACTGCTAATATGTGTAAATACATGAACAGTGCTTACCTCTCCATTGAAGAAGCAGAATATTGTTGCCACCAGTAATCCCTTAAAAAACAAAACAAGTTTTATTGAACAAAAGTAATGGAATTAAATCAATATGTATTACTTTCTAGCAGCTCTGCTAGAGCAATGTAATCATTTTCTGGTAAGTGAATGAACTGACTGCCTACCTGGAAATTCCACAGCCTGCTTGCTTATTATTTAATTTAGCACCTAACTGAAGTTAATGGAGTGGCTAACTGGTTCTTTATAGAGTAAATCAACAGTGAATCATATAAATAAATCATCACAACAATTAAGGAAACATGGTTTTATTGTGGTGGAAACTAACAAGCAAGTCAAATGTCTAAATCTCAAGCCTGGTGGGACCCAAGTGCAGGTTCAAGTTCAGAGTTTATATATAACTTTCAGTAATAAAGGTACATTGATTACAATGCTTACAGATTATTTTTATTTCATCAATGAGCACATGTGCAAAATCCCTCAACCCACAGTGCCAGTAAAGCAGCACGTTTTTGCTCTTTAATTCACAGTTGAATTATCTTTGAACTGCTTATCTGCTACTTATCTGCTCAGTGCCTTACCTGGTAGTGCATGAGTATGTGCATGATGTACTCGTAGACCTCCCCAGCTAGCCGGTTCTCTGGCCTCCAGGGGATTATGACAAACTGTATTCCTAGCAGGGGCACCAGAATCAGGGTGGCTCTCACTGCTTTCATGTACATGTTGGACTCTGCCCGGTGTGTGTCTCTCAACTTGGTGACCAACACTCTTATAATATTTAGTAAGAAGAAGAGGTTCACCTGTGGAAAGTAAAAAAATGAGAAAAAAAGCTAATTTTTCTTATCTTTTATTTAATAACTAAAACTACTACCAAAAGAACAAACCAATACACAGATTTTTCACTTTGAGATCCATATATTTATCTTATATTGTGCTAAAACAGTGTATTAGCAGACTTACAAGAAGTGCTGCCACTATAGGACCATGGACTGTGTAGAGCAGATTGGTTTCCACACTAATCCAACAGCTACAGAGGGAAAAACATATCAGTCAGTGCTGTCTGCTGCCCAAAATACACATGCACACACACATACAAAAACATGCACGTGCATGAATCTGCACACTCTCTGCCACACACAGACGAGCACATATGTAAACATCTCCTGTTTATTTGCAGAAGTTTCTGGAACATTACTCACTTGTCATCGAAATACTTTTTCCTTGCCACGGCGTGGATGGATGCAGGCACTAGAGGAAAGCCTTGGACAGGAAAAGGATAGCGGCCATATGAGGTTTTGAATGAATATGGTGAAATTCATTAGTCATTTATGTCACAGTAAAAAGTGTGGTTAGCTTGGTCAATTGTTTTGCTGGTCTTGGACTTCCTCATCAAATAAATTATTTCTTCACTAATATTATATACATTCTCAGAGAGGCTGAAACACAGTGAATCAGCTTTGACATCCTCATTTGTGCAAACTTTCTTATTGTAATTGTATTACTCTAGCATTAAAAACAACACCACATGATGAATGTCTATAAAAAAAAAAACACTAGAGGCTGGGCTCAGGTTTTTATCTACTTTTCATCTGGTTATAAACATATGAATCCATGTACACTCCATTTTCGAACACCACTGAGGCCCTGCAGCATATCGGCCACAGATGGACCTGACTTACTGGCTGCCTTCCATCCACACACACACAAACGCGGCAAAAACTGGCCTCAAGGTTATCCTCCCAGTTTTAACAATGACTATCCATTTAGTTCCATCGCCTACTTGTTTGACAGACTGCACCTATTATTCTTGTTTGGTGAAAAACAGGATTGCACTAAGCACTAAGCGACAGGAGGGCCAATAAAGCTGTCAGTATGTCCAGGTTGACATATTGTAGGAGGATTGGGTGGATCGGAGTAAATTGTGGCTTGTTGAATTACTTTTCATTGAGTTTTTGAGCCATGATTGAGTCTAATAAGGTAATGAAAATAAATGAGTCTTTAAAGATTCCGCATAGAATAAACACACAAATAAAAGAAACACAACAAGTGCAAACAGACTCACCCCAGCCCAGGAGGTAGTACCAATGCAGATGTTGCTCCTCTGCAAATACAGCCACCACAATGAGCGTGTGCAGGTAAATGCCTTCACAGAGCATCCAGAAATAATTGCAGCCCAGCATGTACATGTGGAAAAATTGCAACACCTTACAGCTGATCTGCAGAGAGGAAAAAGACCAAAAGAGGAATATTTATTATTTCCTTCATCTATTTGTTACTCTCTAATGTATATAAAAAGATATACTCAATTTAAACACTCCTCGTATCATCTCAGCAGGACACAAACAAATATGTAAGAGGATGTTTCTGCACTCATGGCATAAAACAGATAGGATGTTTATTCATTTACCCACTCTGGAGGTGAGCTAAGAGGGAAATGCATTTTCTTTGTATTTGAAGTGCTCTTTGATTGTGTCTGTCTCACTTTGCAGAAGGAAGTGATGAAAATCCAAGTGATGAACAGTAACTTATACAGCACTATGCAGCTTTTTGTGTATGCATCCAGCTCAGTGTGACAACGTGACAACTCTCATCTTATTCTGTCCCGTTGATTGAATTATTACTATCTACATTATTACTCAGAAAATGACTTTGATGACCAGACTTTGTAAAACTTATGGATGCACCATAAGCTTTAATTCTGTTAATGACTGCTAAACACTGGCTTCAATGACAGTGCTGAGATCTATTCAAAAAGACCCATTTATTCAAAAAGTCCTGTAAAAATTGTTTTTCTTCCACAATACTCAATAGTAAATTAATTTCACATTTTCTTGTGTGTGTCTCTGGAAATGGTGTGACTCATTGTTTAATTTCTTGAGAGCTCTGTTAAGGAATGTTTTTGGACTAATTGACAGGTTCCTCGGCCAATCACGTCGGCTGTGTTGGCTGCTTCTTGCTCATCTTAGATGGCTTCCCCTGTGCCCAAATTTGTATTATGTGGCTTCTAAAAAAGCCAAGATGGCTGCAAGTGTTCAGACCAAATCCATCTAGAGACTTAAGGGTATTGTAACAAAATTGCTACAACGCGTCTATGTTTTTCTTCAGTCTAAGGTAAAAAAACTAAACAAAAAACAATATCATATTGAAAAGCACAGAATTATACTAGTAGAAAAAGCCTCCTAGGCTTATGACACAATGATCACAACATTTTGTTAAGCAAACTTTTTTTCACGTTTTCTTCAATTTACAGCTCTGGTTGTTGCTGTGTACCACAAACCAGGCTTTTAATGGCCTCTCTTATTAATCTAAAGCTCTGAAGCTCTCAGTGGAAATCTAATCAATACAGTACAGCATTAAATACTTAGTTAGAATTTAGTTAGTCAATTCAATAAAAACAAACAATTCTAATTGGATTCTAAAAAACACATTTTACAATGCACTATACTACCTGCACAGGATTATGTCCATGCTGCTGCCATTGTCATTTGCCACGTGCCATTTTATTAATTTTTCACCCTGTGCCACAACACCTTGCTATCTTAATTGTTGAGATTAACATCCTTTGTTGTTATTACATTACTACATTACAGCTCGGTAATAAAATGGTAATCGTGGGGTAGTAGTTTGATAATAAAGCGGTAATAATTAAATAATACCATGTAGTTGCAATAGCTGTAATAGCTTGGTATTAACAATGGGTATTTCTGTAACAATATGATAACCTCCTAATAATAAAATTGTTATGAGTGCAATATCTGGAATACAAATGGTAATATGGTGACATTAATGCGGTCATAAGCTCATAATAAAGAGTTAATATAGGTTTATGTTTTCACAATAATAGGTTAAGTGCTATCTTGATTTAAATATTTGTTCTCTCTTCTCAAACGAGATCTTGATCTCAGTGACACTTGAATAAATACCTTAACCTACTAACTAACTACCTTCATATTCTAATAAAAACAAGTACTGGTTCATTGTTTTCCCTGAACCACATACTTTATATGGAGAACACGAATGGATTTGAATATATTTTTGAAATATTCAGATCAGGGTTTCTGGGTCATAGTACTGTGTTAAAAGAGTATGCATGCAGCCACAGAATTATTCAAAGATACTGGCATTGCTATTAACTGCTGCTCTCAGGGGTCTTCTTAGCTCAAAACACCAACAGTTATTCACCTCTAAACTTTTATCCATATGTCTCTGCCTCACTTTCCATCGTTTCCCTTCCCACTTGAGGAATCTCCACTATAACAGACGTGGACTTGTATCAGTATGCAGAGGGTAAGGTCACTCATGGTTTTGCATTGCAGCTAAGCGAGGTTTGTGTAAAGTTACCAACAATGTTCTGGTTTACAAATCAAGCTGCTATAGATCATGTAGATGGTTCTCATGTTTTCAGCCTCCTCCCTGGTTTGACATAAGCTTTGGGGATTCACTCCCCCACACTGCTGGCAGGCCAAACCAGACTCTGTATCACCACACCAGAGAGAATAAAAAGAGCTTGTTTTCTCTGTGAGACAAATCTCTACCACAATCCACCATTCCTAAATCACCAGTGCAGAAAACAGGCTCATAAGTCTCACTTTGGCAGTGGTAAATTTCGAAATGCTTCCCAACAGACACGCGTGAATCCCAACCAATGGTGCTTGTGATTTCTTTTTCTGCTTCCTCTTGAAAAGCTGGGCTACGGTGACCAATTTTGTTTTGACATGTTAGCACACGTTGGAAAGTAACAGATTCAACACAAACTTGGCGAGGAGGAGAGGCTTGAAAGCAAGCCTTTGCACAAATACATATATATTTCCTCACATTGATGATAATGGCTGTCATTCCTGGCTTCTTTTTGGACACGTTCAGAGATGGGATGGGAACAAAGACGGCAGTCAGGATGAGCCTGACTGATTTTGTGAATGTGTGAAAAGGAGCAGCAGCAGGATGCAGAATCCAACCCAAACCCAGCTGAAGCCTCTGCTGTCTCCTGGATGTTTCTAGTGCTTTGTCTGGCCAAAGATGCTCCAGCTGAAAGCAGGCTGGCTCTAATGGGATTGTATGCACTATGAGCCAACTTCTACAATCCTATCTGTTGGTTTTGTACTTTGATTATCTGAAGTGTTCAGTGTTTAGGTTTTGCACATTAACATATTGGGCAGATAAAGTTGTTTTTTTATTTGTAAAGTTTTTAATCAGTAGGCAATATTCTGACTGTTCTTTTTTTTTTATCATAGTGGACTTCCAGATCCTGAATGTGTTTAATTTTATTCAGTTTTACATAAAAGGAAAGATATGATGAATTATGGGAGTTTTTAGAGGCAGCAAACACTGAGTTAACATGCTTTAATTATTTTTTATTTTCATAAAGCAGTGGTTCTTGAAAAGTAACACATGAATTTATGTTAAGGGCTGATAGTGAGGCATTCCTATAAGACAGATTTATCATCTCTACCAAAGCAGACTTCAGGGTTTCAAAGAATTCACATAATGCATTCAATGTAGCTCCAAAACTCTGACAGGAGAATGTGGAAGAGAGCAAAAACTGTTGACTGTGTGACACTGCCAAGATATGGCACAATAAGATGAAATACTAATTAAGATACAGTTAAAAGTCTGTTGCATAAACTTTCAAATATTTAAAATATGGAGCAGCTCTATTTAAATTTCACTCTCTTGCATTGCCTTGCAGAGCAAATTAATTTTAAAAAGTTAATTTTTTCTTCCTTGCATTTTTATTTAGCTTAGCATAAATTATGAATACATTTGTATCTCATTTGAAGACAGTGAAACTAATCCTCCTCCTCACACTGTAAGTGGCATTTTTTATAATGCTAGCTTTTGGCTCTAGCTCTAGGGATTGCAAAGCGGCCTGTTGGTCCATCACTTGGTCCAAATTTTGGACAATAAAGTCTATTATATAACTTTCAATGTGTTCAATACTTTGGTTTGGTTTGGTCAAATACCTGCAAAACTAATGACATTCTCATCAGCTATACCTTGTGTTTTGTGCTAATTAGCAAATGTTAGCCTGCTAAGATGCTCAACAAAGATGGTTCATGATCAAATAGCTGCTAAACTAATGACATGCCCATGATCAGTCTCAGTTGTACTTTATGTTTTGTGTCCTGGCAGTAATTATTTAACAGAGGCCATGCTCACCGGGTTTCTGGCCACCACTTCAGGATTATTGACCACTGCTAAGAGAGAGATGAGGGTGAGGGCTGAATTGAGCACATAGGAGCAAAAGAGGTTCTTGTGCAGGGTGATCCTTTGGCAGCTCAGACTCCTGTGTGAAGAGAGACAATGCTGACATACTAGGACACATAAAAAAAAATACCTTTGACAAATTAGAAATTAAATCTCTTTTTACACAGAAATAAGAAGAAAGACATAAACTTGCTACAAGTGATGAAGTAAACAGAACAAAAAGGTAACTCATGACTGGCAGGTTAATAGTTTAATGAGGTTGTCAGATGTTCCAATAGGTTGTTGAAGTAAAATATAAAATAATTGGGACCTTAATCTCAGATATCTTTTTCTGGTTGGTAAAAAAATAAAAATCCTGAATGCACTGTACATGTTAGAAACACTGTTAAATAATTCATAATGGATCCCAAGGGTGCTTCCTCATTACCTTGGTTGGCCACGCAGAATTAATAGCATAATGAAATGCTTCACAGGCAAAGTCAAAATAACTATTGGAATCAAAATCATTCAAATCCAGTAGCTTTATGGTTGGTAATGGTTTAATAATGTTTTAATTTAAGGGCAGCAATCAAAGAGTGTTTAAAGCTGAATGAAACCTTGCACCAAATATATTTTGCAGGATATAGCTACCTAAAAATATGTCCTCTACTGCTCATGGCCAATTTTATCTTTGCTGGTTAATAAAATCCCCAGAGGCCCATGAAAAACAGGAAGAGCCCCAAATTTCCTTAAGCCAGGACAAAATAGCATATAGAACAGCACGTTTTCACAACCTTATTTTGAGGCATGGTTATCTCCAACAGAAAAAAAACAATCTCACTTTAGTCTCCAGACATAAAAGGAAATGCAGGAGATGCTGAATGCTTATACGGGGGTTTTATCTAAAAGGCCATGTCAAAACACAAGCTGAATCCTTATGGCAACGTTGTTCGGACTGTCATACGTCCTAACGTGTACAGGTCGGCCCCTTAACCACCTCTGTTTTTCCATGGCAAGCTGGAGTATTTTTATCTGGGAACCCTGACAGTGTTGATGTAGAGTTGTAAATAACAGAGTAGTGCAGCTGTACACCATCACATACCACTGTAAGCTTCACATCTGGATCCTATAATACAGCATTAAGCCTCCAATATTTTAAGTGTTTTGGCTATAAATATGGCAAGTCATGGTTAAAAAGAATAAAGCAACAAAAGATTTTCTAGGCCAATAACCTTGTGGCTTTACTGAGGTCTTAATTTGTTAGGATTTTGATCTTAATGAATTGTGAATGTCCCGCTGACTTTCTGTGTATCCAACTTAAGAGTTTGACTCTCAGCGGGTCATGGGGTTTCTGTGATAATGCACCTGCCCTAAACATGGCCGCTAGATTTATGAGTGTGTATAAAACTTTGCAGCAAACTGAGAGGCCTCTTACAAGATCTGTTTTGGATAACAGCTGCATTTAGGAGGTCAACAACGCATCAAATTTTACAACTGCAGAACTCAAGAACAACAGGGCCAACAAAGCAACTTTTTCAAATATTGTTACAGAACATAAAACATTTTTCCCCCCCTATTCGGCTCCACATTTCTTCACATATATCTGCCTGAGTGAAACTATAAAACGTATTATACCATTAAAAATAATGTTGATGAAGTCCTTGCTTCCTAGAGATAAACTATGAAGTTTCAACAAAGTGCAGACTTCTGCACAGTCTGCTAACTTTTTCTCAGGCTTAATCATTTCCCAATTTCACATACATTAACCGAATATTTTACCTCCATTCCCCTTATCCATTTTTGTTATTTTGAACTCTTATCTAATTGGATTTCAACAGCAGTTTCTCAATTAATTGTGCACTTTTTCCCTCTGGGATTAAGCAGTGCATTGGGATGAATAACCATAATGAGCAATGCACTCAGGTGCACATTTTTCTAATAAGAGTAAAGCATTCAATGGATGTCACAGCTCTTTAGTTTTGAATCCTAAATATCCATGAAATAAATGTGGAGCACAAGGAAACCCAGTTGGCATGAAATTAGCAACAGTTAAACTGTGTATAAATTACACTCAGTGAAGCAGCAGAACTATTTCCAGGTTGATAGTTTGTGACACAGTGAAGGCAGTAATAATTTATCTGATTACTCTCTTCAGTGTTAATTTAACACTGTGCTAATGTTTGAGTTCTTTTTTTTAACCATTTTAGATTATGTTACCTGCCCCCCAGAGCAGCTCTATGAGAGAATAAACAATCAACAGTTTTGATTACATTATAAAATGTGACTGAAGCATCAACACTCATTAAAGTTTTTGTGTGTGCCTCTGGGGAAAGTGTTTGAAATTGTTAAATTTACTCTGCTGGTGTGGACAGAGGCTGAATGAAGATTTTGCTGACTGCAAATATGACTGAGACCAAAGTACTGCCCATGATGAGTAATGCAATTGCTGGAGGAGACTGTCGTGAACACCATCTGTGTGCCTGTCAGATTCACTGATAATAGTGATGAGATGATTGAGCCTTTAAGGGCAAAGCTACTACCAATTAATCATCCCATGACAAACTGCATTGGCACCATGTTAACTATTCACTAACATGTGCATTATCAAACTAGTAACCACAGCTAAATTCTCATGTGGTTAAAATCTTATATGGAAGGCAAGAAAATCAGTCCATTACCTGAAGTAGAATAAGATGGCCAGAGAGATGAGCAAGGAGGCTATGGATAAAGCATGACCCACAATTGCCATGTAGAAGAGGATGAACACTGACTGTAAAAAAAAATACAAACAAACAGGAGTAATATCAAATAACATGTAGCACTTCTACTTACAAAAATCACAAAAAAGACACATTGTATTTTGTGAAAAATTATTCTGTACCCGAATCAAGGCCCAAAATTGCTTTCCAATTATCCTAAAAGTGCATGATGCATTTTATAGAATGGCACAAATGCATTCTGTATACAAAATTAGGTGACAATAATTAATTAATAATTAAAATAAGATTTTGTGCAAACAGAGTCTTACATATCTAGTTTTAAGCATCTTTCCTATGTATTCAACAGCTAAATTCTTATATGGCTGCCTGGTGACAAGGTTTTACAACAGAGGTGACACAGCACCCACACAGACAGGTGTTTAAAGATTCCCCAGTGCCAGTTTGACTATATTATTATTTTTAAGTCAAAATGCAAACTAAGTTGTCCAATATCACCTTTCACTGAATTGTGGAATTGTCTGTTTCACACAGTTTTGGTTAGTACAGCAGGCCAAAGTTAAACTGCAGTAAATAGTTAATCAGAATGCAACATTAGAATAGACAGTATGGGGTTTGTTCGTGTATAAATAAAATTTGAATTAAGAGTTTGGTTAAATAAAAGAGGAAAAGTTGAAATCTGATCACTGTTACCCCTTTTTGCCAAGTTTTCACACCTCAGTTGATGGGGTGGTCCTTGTTCTTGAAAGAAATAATTAAAAGCTAAAGTTGGCATCAACTCAGTCTTATCAGAAAATCATTGGAAGTTTATTTAGCCTTATTTGTCTTTCGGGTCACACTGCTGAGGCTGTGTTTTCTGTGAAGTTTCCTAAATCTGGGGAGCAGAGTCAGCAAAGATCAGGTTTCTGTGGTAACAGATGGAGCTGCTGATTTCTGGTTCTGATCGATCAGCAGACTTTGAGTCTTTCTCCCAGGTTTGCCAAGACAGCTGTTCCAACTGCGTAGTGCAATGAGTGAAGGTAGCAAGATGGAGTTTCTTGCAGAAGCTTTGTTTACAAGTTGCCCTTTGTTTGCAATTGACCATTTTCTCTGTTCCACATGGGACAGCAGAGTAGAGTTGTTTTTTAATTTCCTCGGATATTCACTGGAAGAAAAAAGTGGATTTTTCTCAGTAAAATAGAGGGTTACTAATCATCTACATTTAAAATGGAAAAGCTTGTGAGAGGAAACCCATCAAATTTAAGAAAGCAAAGTGTAAAAATGTCTTAAAAGGCACTTATGGTTTAGAGTGCAAATGTTGGCTTTTTGCAATATTTGTCCTGAAGCAAAATTTGGCACTGTCTAGTGATTACTGTCTATATTTATTATAGATTACATAAAAGCGTTAACAAAATGCTTTGTTGAATATTCTGTTACTAAGGAGATTTTCCAGCAATCACATTCAGGACCTCTTGCATCACAGATGAAAAGTACCAATATATCGAATGTAAAAATTAAAGATTGCAGACCACACCAACCTCTAGCAAACATTATAACAAGTATGGTGTGACCGATTTCTGTAAGCACATACCATGAGTTACACTGTAGCTGGCACATACAACTGATTTGTGATCAAGTGTATAAATTAATTGTCTAAGTCTTGTAAGAGTAAATGCAAAATTGTTGAAACTCTGATAAAATACTGAGTTGAGCTCTGTGGTGTCCCGTTCTGGTTTTCATGTGGGAAATGTTGTTAGTGGCTTTGAACAGCAGCCTGGTGTTGTGAGTGATAAGAGGGTTGTTAATATGTGATGTTGACAACATTAAGCTCTTTGTAGGGAGACTCCTCTGTCCAGGCCTGTGTTTTATAACAGCTGTATATACAGCTGAGAAAGAGGGCTTGAAACAGTTTGATGGTTTAGTTCCAACAAATGCAAAACGTCAGTTTGAACAGTAAAATAAGACCTGATTTACATAACCTTGTCACCTGTGAGATAAGAACACAACTCTATCTTAAAAATATGCATCAAACTAATGTGTACTGTGGCATTAAATATCAGCTTTGGCTTTGGACTTTTACCTGATTCAGGTGTGATCTCACCCTGTGCATATTACTTTTCATCTCTAAATATTTCTGTGGAACTCAGTTTAGGAGAGTAATGTGTCTTGGAAATAAAATGCCTGTTAATAATGGTGTCTGGTACAATATTTATGAGCAACTGCATCAGAACTACATATTTCCAGTTTCCACATATTCTCCAAATACCAGACTCCATGCAAAAAAAGAAATGATTATGCTGACCCATCACACTGTGGCCACCATGCAGTAGGTCTACGATAGCAGGCTACTATATTTTGAATTAATTACCTTCAACTTTGCCTCAGTGCTTTCATTGCAGAGTGTGTAGTTCGACCAAGTCCTGTTGGTATCCGGGTGGCGAAACCACTTCCCATCCTCCCCACAATACTTTGTGGCCTTTTCTAAAAGTAACAATTAAGTAATAAATACAGATTCTCTAACAGTTTCGTCAAATCCATACAGTTGTATCCATATATTTAAGTTCTGCCTTGATGAATAATTCATCCTAAAAGCAAAGCAATTCATATTTTATGCTGAACCAGCAGACCTTTAAAAGAGCGATACTCCTGACTCTCTCTGCTTACCTGTCGGGTCAAAGTCGACAAAATAATTAGGGCAGTTTTGAGAGGTGTACGTTCCAGCTGGAGTGTCCTCCCAGCACAGCCAGCCATCCCAGTTACGACTGCAGTACAGCCCTGTGACACCGACAAAGACAAAAGCATCCTCAAAGGAAGAAGTACAATAACAGAAAGCCTCAACGAGTCTCAGCAGATATTGCCTCTACCTGATTTGTTGTAAGGTAGATCTCGATTAATTTTCTCAAAGCACTTGTACTGGTTGTCGAGGATTTTCTTCCTCACAATTTCCTGCTCTTCTGGGATGACCATGGGACTGACCGTGGCCCCGTTGGTGGGCTCTAACTCAGTGTCCCCTGAGAGCTGGGCGGCTGCCTTCATTTTAGTGAAGTCAACATCACACACATACACACGGAGAGACATGATCAGCCAAACTAAACCATGAGCAGGGAGGTTAAAGAAAGTATGAAACAAATTTTACGTTTGAGAGTAAAAATGTGTTTGTCCAGTATCCAGTGCCTGCTAACAACATTTTGATTTTTGTCCACATGAGTACCCTTATTTATTATTGCATACTTCCACTTCATAGTAAGTCTAGCTACGATCTCCTAAACATCCGGGTAACACTTGATTTTTATTTTTCCCCCACTGGAATTCCGTCAAGACCTCCCTTACTGTGCCTCTGATTGGCTAGTGTTTGTTGTCTTCATTGGATTGGCTGGTCAGGATTAAGGAGAGAAATGCTTAAGGTTAAAAAAAAAAAATCAGGATCAGAGCTAATCAGAGGCAGAGTAGTGTAGGGAGTAAATAATTAGGGTTAGGGGTATGTAATGGTTAGGGTTGTGCTGGATTAGGGTACTGGGACCTTTGTTTTTGTCCAATTCAGGCCCTGAATTGGACAAAAAAAAGAAATATATTTGGTTGATAATGTATATAATGTAGTGTCCCTGAGTGTCTGCATGGATTTTAAAAAGTCAGGGATACACCCAAATCCCCAGAGGAAATCCTTGAAAAACCTGCAGTGCTGGTAAGATTAGTTACCAAGAACATCTTATTATGAAATTATGATCTTTCTGATGAATAGTTGTTACATAGACATTACCTTCCATTTCTCCTTAGTATTAACAGCACAGAGTGTGTAGTTGGTCCAGATCTTGTTACTCTCTGGATGGCGAAACCATAGCCCGTCTTCTCCACAATATTTAGTTACCTTTTCTGAAAACAACAATTATGTGCTAAATATACAGTGTGTAACACATTCTCCGAACAATTTCCACTCTTTTATAAAACTGCAAATGTGTCTATAAAGTCAATCCTCCATAAGGACCAGTGTGTAGGATTCAGTGGCATCTAGCGGCAAAGTTGTAGATTGCAACCATTTGGATACAGCTCTGCCTTCTTGGCAGGTAGGAGAAACTATGGTGGCAAAACTTGCAAAAAATGCAACTGGCCCTATCTAGAGCCATTCTGGGCAACTGCAGAAACATGGCGGTTCAACATGGTGGACTCCATGGAATAGAGACGCCTCTATAGATAAAAACAGCTCGTTCTAACGTAACAGAATCACAAAGATCCCTATATTCAGGGGATTACACACTGGTGAAAACATACCTATGAATATTATATTCAATTTATACAGATCCTCCTAAATGTTACACACTAGACCTTTAAAGCAATTACTATTTCATGGTCCAACCTCTTAAAATATAGTCAGTAGAAGATCAGAGGAGGTTAATAAGATATCAGAATCCATTAGAGCAGAACTCTTGATTCTCACTGTTCACCTGCTGGGTCAAAGTCAGAAAAGTAATCAGGGCAGTTTTGGGAGGCGTAGGTTCCTGCTTGAGTGTCGTTCCAGCACAGCCAGCCATCCCAGTTACGACTGCAGTACAGACCTGCAATACCGACAAAGCCACAAAAATACAAATGTTTACAGGCCTCCTGTTAATATGCCTGTCAAACATGACACTTCAAATGACAAAGCAATCACACTGATATCCAGTGAAGGTATTTGATGATGGTGTAACCAGAGTTACACAGTGATCTTCCATAGACAGTATCATTACCTGATTTGTTGAAAGGTGGATCTCGATTTATTTTCAGGAGGCATTTGTATTCATTCTCAAGCATTTTCAGTTTCTGTGAACAAAATAGATGTTTTGACGTTACAAAAAAGATTATACAGAAAAATTGAGAAGTAAACAAAAGTGTGTTTCAACTCCTGACCTTATTCAACATTAATTAACAACAATCGCTAGTAGCCAGAGCACTTGGTCGAACCCACAATTGTTTGGGGAAGTTTAACTACAATAGATCCTCAGAGTCTAACACTGAAGATTGATAAAGTTGTTTCTGCTCAAACCAAAAACCAACCACAGGTAATATATCAGTTGTTATGTATTTTCAAGCCCACATCCAATCAAACTACTGCTTGAGATTTTCCAAGGTCCATATTTTGTGCTGACAAGATCTGTATGTTGTTCCACACATCAACTTTTCCCAACATGCTAACTTTTTAGCATGAAATAATATCTTTTCCAGTTGTAAGCCATGAATGAAAACAGCGTTTGGGTTGCTAGGTTAAATAGTCAGTTCACTGATGAAATAATTAATAGGGGGTTGTTTTGGAAGTCAATAACAAACAATATATTTTGTTGTTTAAGTTTGAGGATTGATCAAACAGAAATAGGTGCTGGTGATACAATGAGGACATGGTGATCCCTCACCAGTTTCCCACCAGCTTCAACTTAGCTGAGTCTGGTCTGTTGGGCTAAGCTGTAAGGACCACTTGTGTCTGTAGTGATGGTTTTTCCCTGAACCTCCAGCCACTTCAATCAGTATACTACCATCACGCATTTAAGTTTAACTTTACATAACATAATAATGATACATACAGAACTATACCATGACTGTAAATGTAAATGTAAATGTAAATTATTTTATACTGTATAGGCTATGTATGGTATATGGTTTGAGGTCTGAGTAGTGGAAACTAAATTCATGACATGATTCATTGTTTAATTGTGAAAGAGGCTACATGTCCTGAACTTGCAAGGAGACCCAGCAGTATTAGTAGCAAAACTGTACAATAAATCCATGAAAGATAGTTCATTACATCAACAATACTAAACATTACCCTCAGCGTCTTCTCATGGGTGGTTGCACAGAGTGTGTAATTAGTCCAAATCTTGTTGGCCTCTGGATGATGAAACCACTGACCATCTTCTCCACAGTACTTAGTTGCCTTTTCTGAAAAAAAACAATTATGTCCAATGTCTTTAAATATAGTCATTAGAGGAATAAAGGTTAATTCAGTATCAGCAGGGTCTCACTGCTCACCTGTGGGGTCAAAATCGCTGAAATAATCAGGGCAGTTTTGTGAGGCGTAGGTTCCTGCAGGAGTATCGTCCCAGCACAGCCATCCATCCCAGTTACGACTGCAGTACAGACCTGTAACACCAACAAGGACGAAACATTTCTTTAGAAGTCTCTTGTTCATACATATGTCAAACATACAAATTATGTAGAAAACACAGTATCAGTACCTGATTTATTATAAGATGGATCTTTTAACATTTTCTCTGAGCATTTCTTTTCGTTCTTGAGGATGAGATCCGTAACACCGCCTTTTTCTGTGTTTAGTCCTGTGGCCTTTGTGGTGGGCTCTTCCGCAGCATCTCTTAAGAAATGTGGGACTTCCTTCTGAGAAAAAAACAGTTCAACATACAAATTATTGTATAGAGACAGAGAAGCTAGCTTCATCTCAATTTTCCATTACTTAAGGAAAAGAGCCAAATACCTCTAATTTGTTCTTTGAAGCTGGCTGACAAGGGGGGCCACTCTGGACCCAGTTACCCAATTCATCACAATGTTTGGTCACTTTTTCTGTAAAGGAAAAAAAAAACCCATCAGTTATTACTCTGAAAGCTTTATAAACCATATCCAATTACTTATAGGCACATTATTGCTTCTGTTCAACCTTCCATGCCCAGTAGATAATCTCTATATGGCTCTGTCTGTTTTTCAGCAGTAGTATGTTGGCATCATCCAAACATAAATCGGACCTTGAATTTTGGCATTACCGCACAACTGTGATTAATTTAACTTGGCACGCATCATCAAACGTTATGTCAAATAGAAAATTCCCTCTTTGGAGTCATTATCTGGCAAATTCTCAAATGTCGGGCTTAAAACCACATGTACTGTAGAGCCATGACTGGGCTAAGAATGAGATCATATATTGTTCCTGACAACAACAGCCATAGCCGACTGCCTAGTCTTCACTGACAACTCATCAACTGTTCAACAACCACTTCCAACTGTACGTCTCCCCCAAAGCTTCATGTCAGCAGCATCAGCTTTCAAATAAGGAGCCATAAGGGGACTCTTAACATCACAGGCATTTTGGGAAGATCCTTTATGAGCCTTCTCTTACTAAAACACCTTCTCTCTCTTCTCATTCATATTCTCTCTCCCCATCCATCTCTCTGACTCAGACTTCTCTGTCTTTTTTTGTAATCCCTCTTCTCTTTTTCTCTCTATATACCCTTCATTCTTTCCTCTGCCCTCCCCATCACCTCCCCTCTCTCCATCATATTACGTCTCCTAAATCAGACACGACTTGACTCTGGATCTCTTCAAGTAGACATTATTAAGCCGTGCATTCCTCACAATGTAAAAACTGCTCATATCGTAGTGACTATTTGTACTTCAATCCAAACATTAAGTGTACTTACATAATCAATTTCCACAGTCAATTTCAATATAAATAAATGTCTGTTTTCATTCAGTCTGACTGATAAAACACAAAAGACAATCGATTTACTTTGTATCCAGTTTGTAAATCTCTTACACTAGCCTAGTTGTCCTTGACACTCACTGTTGTGAAAATCTTTCTCAATTAAAAAGCAACAAGGATTTGATTGTTAAGAAGACTATAGAAGGCTGCAGACATGCTAGCTGCTCTACAAGGCTATACCTATAAGCAGAACAGTGCTTTAGGCGAAATGCTAATGTTTGCTTGCTAAAATGCTGATGTTGTAGGGATGTTTATTATATTAAGCACAAAGTACAGAAAATGTCTTGAGTTTTGCAGGTATTTGATGATGGCTGTATATGAAAAGTCAAGGGGTTTGCCAAAGTAATTACAATCTATCCTGAGGAGGAAATAAATGTCTCATTCCATGGCAATCAGTCCAATAGGTTTCGAGACATTTCCCTCAAAGCCAAAAAATGTGCATCCTTAAAGGAAAAGTCCGGGGATCACAGTCATTAGGCTACATCCTCAGGGAACCATTAATATCTGTGCAAAACTGGGTATGTGGGATTCAACCTCTGGGTACCATAAATACATGTACCAAATTTTATGACAATCATCCAATAGTTGTTGGGATATTTCAGTCAGGACCAAAGTCCTAGTACACTGACCAACTGATTGTTT